GTCTATTTGGAGGTTGTAGGTGGGAAAAAGAAAGGAAAAGTCTACGGTTTAGGGAGTGCTTCACAAATATATTACAAGAGCGATCCTGCTTCTCAACTTACAGCATAATCTTCTACTCCTTCCATGATTTCTCAATTAAGCTCTCAAGTTGAAGAATTAAAGAAGATGGCAGAAGAAAACCATAATAAGGTAGAAGAAAGCCAAAAAATAGCGGCAGAGAGCTTAAAATATGCTAAGGAATTCGTTGAAAATCATGAGATCGAAAAAGCTACATGGAAAAAGGAAAAATTAGCTATGCAAAAAACATTGCAAGAAATGGTATCATTTGTCAAACAAGGTTACCGTCCTTGTAAGCCTTCTACGCCTAAAGTCACCCGCTCTCGTGATACAACTAAGTGATTTTTATTTTCTTGGTGGTAATTTTGTGAACAACTGGTTTTTTTTTTACATCGTCATTATTGGTTCTTATTTGAAGTAGCTTTCTTTATATGGGAGGTGACTTTTGAAACAATTAGTCATATGAGTTAAATATTGTTTTTTAATACATTGATACAAATTTGATGATGTTTTGGATATTTGAATAAAATTAACATTTTGGTTATTTGAATTTATGCGTGGGTACCTTTTTTTTTGTGATTGATATTGGTTGTCGCTAAATTATGGTCTCAAATATTGATCGTCAGTCGCAAATATTTAGCGACTGCAAATTTGGTTTAGAGACTGATTGGTTAGTTGTAAAATCATTAGTCTCAGTAGTCGCTAATCTGTCACAAATAATTAGTTTTGTAGTCGCAAAAATTTGTTTCGTAAGTAGTTGCTAGTCCGTCGCAAATATTTTACGACGGACAATAATTTAGTTGCTAAAATTTGAAAGTTAGTCGCTAAATGGTAGTTGCAAAGGCGTTGCAAATCCGTCGCTAAATTTACGACTGTCCAAAAATTAGTCGCAAAAATGGATTTGCGACGAGGTCTTTGGCAACGAACCAAAGTAGTTGCAAATCCGTCGCAAATCCATTTTTACGACGGATTTGCGACTACTTTGGCCGTTGCTAATTACCCTTTTTCTTGTAGTGTTAATGTTTTGCCATAAAGGACTTGAAAGGTGAAATGCCACCATAAAAGTTTTTCCACAAATTAAAGGGCTAACCTAGAGTACAACAAAAAGTTCCTTAAAAGCATTGTCGTCTTCATCAACAAAAAAACAAAATATAACACCAGTTAGTTTTACACCAAAAGCAGGATCCCTAATCTTGGTTAAAATCCAGCATTCCAGAATCATCATCATCATCATCATTAAATGGTTCATCATCACCAGAAGGATCTTCACCACCACCAGCCTTGTTTTTCCGCTAGAGGTTGCATCCAAATCATCATCACTGCCATCTTTATATTCACAACAATTAACAAAATATAACACCAGTTAGTTTTACTCAATTAATAAAGAATAATAAAAAAAAGAAACAATAGGTAATTACCATAAACATGATTATTGATTACCAATTATAAAACAGATAACAAATAGAATACCTATAAGTTCCACTGAATTCATAAAAACTGAAATAGGTAATAACCAAATATATGATACTTGAATACCAATTATAAAACAGATAACAAATATAACATCATTGATTTTACTTATTCAATAATTAACGAAAATAGGTAATAGCCAAAAACATGATAATTGAATACCAATTATAAAACAGATAACAAATGTTACAAATTATAAAAACAGAGCACATGATTAAAGACAGCAATGGTAATGTATAAAAACATATTAGGTCATTACAAATATGGACAGTTATGAGTTTAAGGTCAAGAAAGCAATTATAATCATCTGAATCAACACCTTGATCGTCCATTCTAGACTTTGCTATCTCTTGAATCTCAATCATAACGTCATCAGCGAAGATCTCCGGCCTAATGCGCTTAAGCATTTCTTGTACAACAATGCTCTCAAACATTACAGCTTTGAGGTTTCCATGCCCTTTTACCTCACCGATATCATCCTCATTTTCTTCATCAACTCGTTCTCGAACTCGAGCACGCTTAACCTCTTTATATACCCACTGTTTTGCCTTCTCATCATACCTGTAACCCAATGCATTACTAACCGTCTTTTTGTTGAATGGTGTTTTTGGTCCAGATTGCACTACTTCATTAGAAAAATCTACACTAAAATGCTCAAAAACTTTGGTTAACCACATCCCATAAGGAAGGAATAAACCTTTCTTTGTTCCCTTTTGAGTTGCAACCACGTAGTCAATCATCATCTGTGGCATATTCATCTTCACGCCGGCAAGTATAAAGTACATGACCAACATGTCAAGATATGTTAAGTAAGACAGTCTACCATTGCGGCAATTGAACGTATAGAAAAGAATCAAATGCAGCAGACGAGTAGGCAATGGCAGATCATTAATTTCTGGTTTTTTTTGTCTACCAGCGTCCTCTTCCATTAGCACAAGATTGAGACATTTTTGTCGATCAAATGCCTCAAGAGTACTCCATCTCTTACCCGGCAGAGCGACGTGCACCCCATATCGCGGGATTTTCAAAATTCTGGCCAATACACTTTCATCCAACTTAATCTCTTTTCCCTTTACCCAAGTGTATATTACTCCCTTCGTTTTGTTAGCATGATCAAAGTGAGTTTAGAATTGGCGAACAAGGTCAGGGTATATAGGATGTTCTCCCATCCTTGGAGTTTAAACCACTGATGTATTAAACCAGCATGGGCTTCGCCGAGGGATTCAAAGTCTACATGTCGCCCATCACAAATTGCCCGATTACTGAATGTCTTATAGAACAACTCCCGGTACAGGTTGGACCAGAACCGTTCATCAGCTTCTGGTGCTTGCTTAGTGTCAACACCTGCTGCAGCATGAGAAGGTCTTGTAAGAGTGGATGCAGTTTGCCTTGTTTTTCTTTTTACAGGAGGGGAAGTTTCTTCCAACCCAACCATGGGAGCCCCTTTTCTTGGTCTCTTGTTCGCTCGCCTTGCTTGTTGCTTTACTTTAACCATTTTTCTGAAAAAAAAAGAAGCATAAAGTCTTGTAAGACATATTAGTGTAGATTTTAAAGATAAATGATCCAACCAAATAAAGTAATCATAAAACCAATGACAAGTTGAATATTTCATTGACTTTCAAATGCATACATGTATACACCAATGGAATAAAATATCATTACCAAAGGTTAACAGAATAAGGCATTTACTGTCATAGAAAAACATGTATAGACTTAAACTACAGAGGGTCATTACATATGAAAAACAAAACATGACATATTCTTTCAAAGGCAAAATGATGTACACCAGAATAATAAATGATCATTAGCAAAGGAAAACATCACAAGAAATTTACTTTCAAAGGATACCAGGCATAGATTAAAACTACAAAGGGCCATTACCTAAGAGAACAGAACAAGGCATTTACTTCCAAAGGACAACAGGTATAGATTAACATAACAAAGGCTCATTACCTAAGAGAGCAGGACAAGGCAATCAGAGACAAATAGGTATAGACCAAATTATTAAATGGTCATAACCAACATGACAAGCAGAAAAGCATTCACTGTTAAGGGCAAACATGTGCTGACCAAAATAATAACTGATCATTGCCAATAAAAAAAAAAGGGTTATTCACTTTTTTTAACAGTGCCAATCCAGATCAAAGACAAAAAAAGGAAAAATCATAAAGTAAAACAGAACAATGTAATTTTTGATACAATATAGTCAACTAGCCTAGAAACCAACACTTGTAAGTAATACTTTATTATACATTGCTCTTGTAACTGCAAAATTCACATTAGATATAGTAACAAAAAAAGTTGTTCAAATTAAATAAGTTTTCTAATAATCGATAAACTAACAACAATTAGAGAAACTTGTGAAATTTAGGAGTGAATTACAAATATTATATGCAATTAGGTCTAAATGTTAAACCTTTATTATCGTATATAAATTCAAAGAAAAAAAAAATAACTGACAAAACATACTATACACACGAACTCGACGATTCGAAAAAACATGAGAATTGCACGAAAAATGGAAGAAAGCATGAAGAAGAAAGGAAAAAGCACAATCATGAGTAAAAGTTCCCAAAAAATGAAGAAAAATCGGAACAATTAAAAAAAATTATAGGCAATTAACACAACATTACATTCGGAAGTTGTTGTGATCTTAGCATATAAACTCAAAGTTTATTATAATTAAACCCAAAAAAATGTAATCAAAGCAAATTACTTAAAAAGTACATACCTTTGTTTCGGGTTTGAAGTCTTTGGAGGTTTTTGTCAAGAGAGAAGAATTCAATTTTGAGAGGTGTTTGTGGAGAATGGTGGTTTTTGAAAAATGGGGGAGGGTTGTGAAAGGTAAAGGCGGTTTGACAATTTTTTTTCTATTTTTTAACTTTAACCATTTTGACGGTTCTATAAAACAGTTTTGTTTTTTTTATTTATTTTTATTTTTTTTAATGATATATTTTGTTTACTTAATGGAGAGTAATTGTGAATTTTGTTTTAATTTTTTTTTTAAAAGAAGCTACATTAACCGAGGTGAATAAATGGATGGGAGAGATGGAGTGTAGAGGTTGATATGATATGGGGTAATGATGACATTTATGGTGTGATTTAATGTATATGCATATTTATCTTTCATTTATTAATTTTTTAAATCTGAGTGTTTATAAAATATAGTAAAACAATATGTGTGACAACATTATGTAATAAGATGTTATTAACAACTAGTGTTAAACCAAATAAATTTTCATTTACTAAACATTATCATACATCTGTAATCACCAACATCTATTCGGATCATAAACAATTAACATTTATAAAAATTGCTTAAGTGAACAACCCTTATTCCGTATGTGTGATTTTTTGAACAGGTCTAACCGTGTCGGGAAGATAATGCTACATACATGTGGTATGCATTGAATGATTAATGCCTATAATGTCACTTTTATAATATTTTTGGCACGTTGGTGTCATTAAACAAGTGACACAAGTTCGTGTCTATATTTGTTATATATTCTTAATACGAAGTTTCATGGAGTTTAACTTTGCTGTTATTATAATTAATTTTGTTGGTAATTCTAGATAAATGTATAGGTTAATACCTACTTTAATACAAACCTAATTCAAATAGTTAATCTAAATGCTCGTATTTACCTTTCTACTGCAGTTACTACTTTTCATAACATCGTCTAATTAATGATTACAGATACATGATATTTTTTTTTTAAAAGAAAAATTTTACATGCATTTTGACTGTAAACATATAAATGAAATTTATTTTTTTATTTTTTTATTTTTTTTCCCCTAAACCAATGATATCAATTAATAAGATTGATCTTCTAAACAATATGTTAGATATATTAATAGAATCTTCCAATATATATAAATATATCTGATAAACCTAAAAATAGGCAAAAATATACAGTACTGTGTTCCTATATTTACTTTAAATATCTTATATGATACGTATATTATCCTCTATAATTTATGTCAAGAATTGAATAATTCAAAATTCAGTGCTTATTTCTTGGCTAAAATAATGGAAACAAAAAAACAATAATCTAAGGTTTACATAATTACAATAAAATCAA